CCCCCCCCCGGTGCGCGCCTGAGGAAATAATATCCGGCCCAAAGGGCCATAATAAAGGGTCGAGAGGGTCTCAAGAAGTAGTCGTCCCTCGTCGGCATCGCTATTATTGCCGAGAGTGTTTCCTCGCGACTCGAATCAGCGGAACAAGACTTCGTAATGAAACGAATACTCAGAATCGACCGGGATATGACGATGTGGGACACTGGGAAGTCTGAAGCCGCCTTGGCCCTGGGACTGGGAACTCCTTGGAGCTGGGAACAAGAGACGGACTGAGCGAAGGCGTGGCTGCACGACGCAAGAGGCGCGGGCACGCATCTTGGCTGCCCTCTGGCCATTTCTTGATCATTATCTGCTGCGAACACGTCCAACTTTGATCGCCCGCGGAGTGTGGGGGTGGGATGAGATGCAGGGCTTGCTTGAGCCTGGAGACGTCTGTCCTGTCCTCTGTAGGTATTCGGGACATCCGGTCAGTTCACATGTAAGGGCAACGTTTGGTACATGTACTTCAGACTGCCAGACATGGAGCGGTGGTTGGCTAGCAGAGCCAAAGGGTGCAGCGGAGGTGACGCTGGACGTGCGCCGAAGAAGATCGTCTTGTCCGGATGGGCCTATGGGAAGGGTCTCAGTGACTAAGAGGAACAATAAACAGGGCAGGATAGGAGCGAACAGCGGGCAATACTTCCAACTGGACGGAGTACAGTACCAGCAGCTTGCACTGATATCTGATACCTCGTCGTACATACACATTACAGCAACAAAGTTTCTTAGTGCTGAAAGCGAGGAAGGACGACATTGCACGATACACGTGACGTAGTGGGATGGATGGTGATCAGGTGTCTATATCCAAAGTGTCCGGGCAATGATCTATAGACCTAGCCGTCTGATTTGTAGGATCACAGGGCGTAAAGGGGTAACTTCTAGCCATTGATATCAGCCTTGCAATTACGTATGGCAATCCATGGCAAGCCAAACTTTTTTTAACTTTAACATTTCTCAAGAATTCTTCTTTTCTACGAGTAAGTAGCTAGTTGCTGCAGGAAATGATGCATCATGTACTCCCTACTTCGGCCTTCGTGCTACACACAACCTACTGGCATGTACTCCCTACACCCTGCCTACTAAACAGCCGAGTACTTCGCACTTCGTATCTTTTACACGCAGCTTCTCTTATTATTATTATTAGGGGGCAAAAAGAAAAAGGAAATGAGCCCCGGCGACAAGCGAAAGTGGAAATTTTGCACCCTACGAACTATGAAGTACAATCACCGATTCACCCGCGCCCAGACTCCACTCCGGTATTTTGCGAAGGAGGAATCCTCGGCCAGAGAGTCCTTGGCAGAGTGGTGAGCGCCACATAGCAACAGACCTACGCCGCATTCAAACTGGAGATGATTATTGCGGGCTCAACAGTCAACAAGACCCAAGTCCCCTTGAGTTGAGACTTGCGAGGATACTTGAGAGGAGTTGCGAGGTAAGGCCGTGAGACGTGGGAGTTCGTACTGTAACTGTGCACTTACTCTCTACAATACAATATACATGCAATGTAGCTCTATACAAAGCACGTACTGGTAGGTAACAATATGCTGTGCGCTTTACTTCTCATCTCATCTCATCTCATCTCATCTCATCTCATGTACAGTATCTACCACTGTATGGATTATTGTGTACTGTACATGTACATGTATATTATACTCAACCCCTAGGCGTGCCTGAGTAGTAATAGGAGGTACCAGGTACCAAGTACCACGCACCCCTTACCCATCCCCACCCAATCCCATCGCGGTCCCCGAGTGGCAACCGCTGCTAATCCCACCACCACCACGCTGAAGCCGCTATTGTCACTATTCCCACCAATACCGCTACGCCTACAACCACCGCCAGCACTGTTGTCACCTCGACAAACGGCGAAACAACCGGTTTCCAAGCTGCGCTCAATAATAGGACCACTGCTCCCACCTGCTATTGCCACGGCGTTCTCGCACACCCTCTTCCCGCCTGCCAATCACCGCCAGAGCCACTGCGACACCACCCGCGACCCCGAAAAGCTCCTCCACTTTAAGCTGCAAATACTTGGACGGAGTATTATTGCACTGACTACACTGGTTACACTGACTTTCTTACGATTATTACTTGCACCCTCCCAGCATCTCCAGCGCCGCCATCCTCCTCCACCTCGAAATAATCCTCGATTCGGCCACTGCACAAAAGTCCACAGACAACCCACCAGCCCACAACACCACACGACACCCAACCAACCATTTCTCCCACTCTCGTCTCGTCTCGTCTCGCCTCGACTCGTCTCCCCTTTCTCGCTCCTCCTGCTTCTTCCCCCTTCACCCCTTCGCCCTTCACACCCGTCCGCGCTGCGATTCCCGTCCTCCTCCCCCCTCCCTCTCCCTCTCCCCACCCGCCTATCGTCGACACAACAGGAAGAAAGAAAAAAAAAGGCCTCTACGTCGTGTGCTCGCTGTACCCCCTTCCTTTCTGTAGCCGGCTGTGTTGCTCTGCTTTTTAGTTTGGTGAGTGAGACCCGAGTCGACAAAACTCGTCGACGTTCCTCTAATCACCCATTTCCCGCTTCCCGCCGTTGGCGATTTTTCTCCTCGGTTACCTCTTTTTTCTCCGCGCGCATCGCTCTTGAACACATCAACACCTTAACTTGCCCTCCCCCCACCCGTTCCAAAAGCAAATACCACAGTTATTTGGCATCGCTACCCTACCGACACGTACTGATTGATGGCCTGGGGACAGAATCCTTTCGCGACTTTCTCGTCGTAATACGTTCCTTAACACTCCCTCCTCGATTCAGCACTGCAGGCTCCAGTTTTCGAAGCATCCTCCGATCCCCCGAAAATCATGTCTTATTACGATAATCAGCAATGGCCTGCCTCCGCCGGCCAGCCCGCCTGGGAGAATCAGACGCCGCCTGCTCGATCTGGTATGTTGAACTTTGGTGGTGCGATATGCGGGCTTGGGGGACATGTCAATTGATTCGTGTTGCAGGTGCCAGCTCAGTTGTCCCGCGCGAGGACTCGACCGCGTTCAGCACACAAATAGAGGGTACGTGAGATAGATAGCAGTCGCGCCTTGCAGATGGTTTTTATCCGCCGTCTGCAGAACTACAGCACCTTTCCCGACATCGAGCGATGGTCTTGTGGAAGATAGTCAGGGGGCGATGCGCCATGTTGACCCACGTGTGCTTAGCTGGAGGAACACCGGGCTAATACATATATACAGAGGTCGACCGGGCGATCGATAACCTCGTCAAGAGTGGGAAAATGTTTGGCATGGCTGGTCGACGCGACTCGGTGCCAGCTACCGGCGCTGCAAGAGCCTTCCCCGAACAATTTGGTATGCGCATCATCAATCCACCATTTTGCATCCATCGCTGACCACCCACCCAGATCCCCGTATGGGAGGAGGCCCGTCGAGGCACCACTCAGTTAGTGACTTCGGTGATGCGCGGTCTTTCTCAGGCTCAAACCTCCAGAGCTTCTATGCCAGCCAGCGACACCAACCCTCGCGGGGCGCAAATGAGGCCGAACAGGTGATGCAGGCGAAGAGAAGGATGGCAGCGCAGCGAGAGCGAGAGCTGCGGAACTATCACCAAGAGCAGCAGTACAATCGAAGTAGGCCACCCTCTTCTGTATCACAATAACATCCACCTATCAACGTCCTGTACCCAGCGGCTACATAACAATACCCTTTTATATACTATCTTGTCTGCCTTCGATGCCGTGTGTGATTCAGAATTTCCCCCACCTCTCCTGCCTCTACATTATATCCACAGTCACTGACTAGAATAAGGCGTTACAGCTGAAATCACAACTCCCGGAGGCAAACCTGACCGTACCATAAGCCCAGGTAGCGGAATGAGCGAGGAAGAACGACGCGAGTTGATTGCCCGCCAGAGAAGCGCGCTCTATGGTGAAGGTCCAGCCTTTGGAGAGAACGGGGCTTTCAATGAGAACGGGACTCCTCGTCCAACAACCCAGGGCTCCGGGTCCCAGTCCGCGACGGGCCTTCGTGGTCAATCCCCTTTAGCCTTTGAGCAGTTCAATGCCCAAAGCAAGGCGGAGAACTCGAACCAACAAGCTCCAACTGAGCCTCAGTCAGCAACCGGACAAGCTCCAGGGCAGCCGCGCTCCCGTGCCAACAGCACCTCGTCGCCTTCGTCCAACCCAACGAGCAGCTTCAGCCTATTTGACTCTGCGGCCCAGCAATCCAGCCGAACATCGACATCCTCCCCAGGCGGATCACCTCCTCGCCAAGGTGGCAATGGCAAGGCCCCTACGAGCTCTGTCGTCGCGCCTATTGGGACACGCCCAAGCGGACAGGCCCAAAATCCTGCGTTGAACAAGCGCTCCACCACCCCTCTGCCATCCCCATTGAGCTTCGGATTTGCAGCTTCTCAGCAAAAGGAGGAAGGTCAGAGCGGCGAGAAAGAGACCCGAACCACATCCGCGGCTTCCAATTCTAATAACGGCCAGCAGCCTCAACAGGATGTCGGACTCGGTTGGGGAAGCAAGAGTGGTGTTTGGGGTAAGAATTCGCTCGGCGTCCAGGCTTCGGTTTGGGGATAATTTTGTGCGATATGTAAAATGAACGGAAGGGTATGGTCGGTGTTTAGCTTTGCTAGCTTGGCATGGAGCACGGGGGAATCTATCTGGCGCGTCAGGGGGATGACCTTTCGAGCATTGGCTGTTGGACTTGGACTGGCATCGATGGGACCTACTTCGCCACTGCTCTGCCATCACCGCCACCCATCTCAGTCTACCAGTCCTTCAGCCATGCCTCACAGGGTCCATCAATTTTGCCAACTTCTCTTTTTTTTTCCTTATCGGGGTTCTCTTTACGGGGGAGGGTTGCGTTGCAATTGTAGTCATCTCTCATTGCTTCATTCCTGCATTGGTGGAGTAGTGTACCCGGGCCGGGGTCTATGGTATCGGAGAATTCGCCGGATATCCCTCTCTGCTCTTTTCCCCCATTTTTCCTCATCTATGCTGGCTGGTGTTTCTCTCTCAAACTCTGGGAAATTGGCGGAACAGATGGGAAATGGGAATTGGTGTTTGTTAACTTCCTCTCTGTGTTCTGTGTGTTTGTGTTCGTTGGGAATGGCTTTTTTTTTTATTGGGGCGAGGAAGGAGGCATTGCTATGGTAAATGGGCAAATTCAATGGGTACTATCGCGATAAAAAATAAACCTACAAAAGTTGGGTGGTTAATTCAGAACTGGTGTGGAAGGAGGGAAGGATGGATGGTGTGATTAGTATAAAGTTTGTGGGGGGAGTACAATGCATATATATATGGCTGGGTATGGCTTCTTTTTTAAAATCGGGAGGGCTGTCTGTGTGTTGCGGATTTGATATGAGAGGTGAGTAGGCCTTTTTGCTGAGATTCGCAGACGCGATCTCCGTTTGACCTTGAGCGCCCAGCGGTGTTTTATATCGAGAACCTTAACCTAGTGGATGTCTTTCCTGTACATTCCTCCCGTATTCCTAAGCCCCTCTCTTTCCTTGCCATATCCATACTTAGAACCGCTAAGTACCGCCATTCATCTCGTTGTTTGCAGATTATGCTGTGTTTTGTCGAACACTTCTCTTTCCAACACGAGAAGCCTTCTAAGAGAACAATCATTGAAGGGCAGCTGCCGTGGCCCATGGCTGGTTGGTACGGAGGTTGTTGATTACCAGCACTTGCCCCTTGCTCCTTGTTCTGAGCTTGAACTATGCCGTCGACGCCCACAATTGCCGATGCTGCTAGAGACAGAGCCCTTTCATAGTTGTCCATACCGGAAACTAGATTAAAAGTGTTTTTGAGATTGACAACCAAACCTCCACAACCACAATCCCCGACGCTTCTCGAGATACAGTCCTTGCAAACTTCTATGTTAAATATAGGGAAACGGATTGACAGTGTGTTGGAGATTGATAGCATTATAGAGATTGATACAGAGATTGATACAGAGATTGATAGCATTACAGAGATTGATCGCATTACAGTGATTGATAGCAAGCGTAGCTATAGTAATAAACGCCGCATATGTTAGCTATTCTTCTGATAAGTTTGTATCTGTGCTGGTAGGTTGTATATACTTGGTCGCTGTCTATCTTTGCTGAAGGATATGTAGCAGCGCAGATGTGTTATGAGGTTGAGGTTTGCGTAAAAGAGATTGATGTTGGAAGAAGGAATTAATGGAGAGATTCGAGACGAGAATCCAGCAAGGCAAGTCCTGTGCTACATGCAGGCGAACGTAACTAATGTCAATACTGAATTAAGGTGACTTGAGAAGCAAGTAGTAACTAAATCCAGAAGTTGCGACTTCCTTCTTGCTTGGTACACTCCCGCTGCGGTACTAGCTTGTGTAACATAATCGAAAGTGTAAGGGCAAGTTCCCGAGAAACGTCGAGCATAGTACAGATTGGGATTCCTTTACGTGTGATTTTTATTCCCTTCTTCCGCTACCCATCTGGACAAGGCCCTTTCGCCTTATCGTTCTAGAATCTTGTGCATTATTGGTGTCCTCCAAGCCCCATGTTGATAGTTGCCTTGGAGCTCGGCCTGGGTAATTTGCACTGGCTCCCTACCTTGCTTGGTACTGTGGCGGTAGTATCACATAATTCAAATGTATAATCCTACTACGTATCTTGGGGTTTAACAATAACATTAACTGGTATAATTGTGTCTCATTTGTTTGTATACCATCAAACACCGCTGCTTTCTGTTATATATATCAGAGTTGGGCTAGTGTTGCGCTGTGAGTAGTTGATAGACGTGTAGATAAGTAAGTACGTGCTTTGGAGACCTCCGTATACAGCGAGTTATTAATAGTTGGGTTTTTGGGAATGATATGCAGGTACCTAATGGCCGTCTATTACTTCGTATTTGATGCTTCAAGGATGCTTCGATTCTGCCAATCGCTGATACACACATTCCAAGTCGATACTTGTAGTGTAATTTCTCGCGATATGTAAAAGCCAGAGGCAGCCGTGGATGTTTAATAGTCTAACCATCTCCCCAAACCCGCTGATACTCAGTTTCCTGTCAAAAGTGACGTAATATCCAATTTGTCGGATATTGCGAGATAAGAACGAGCACATAAATAAATGATCTTATCAATGTGATACTCCTAGCCTTGCCCATTTACGATAATCGTTACTATTCTACACATGCGTAGTGGGGATTCGGAACGAAGTGCCCGTTTAGCCTAATTCTGTAGAAGGATCCGGAATTGAAGCATTTCGTCCGATATTTCGTGGTGATAGTTGTACTGCGAGGCAATGGAGTACATGTACAGAACAACGCGGCCATACTTATGATCGGCAAGACGCAGTAGTGCCAAGCAGGCAGCATGAATCTGTGTGTGTTGAGAAGCCCGGACATATGCTGGAGTTAGGGTAATTTAATCGACTCGTGGCAGCAGCGAACCCTTACGGATCTGGGTCAGGTAAACGTAACTATTGCTGTTTGTGGATAATTAATTGGCTTTCCCTAATGTATCGTTTTGGAGGACTATTCTATTATAAGTCTGTATCAGGCAACAGTACCCATTGTAGACTTCCACGCACTGTTAATGCTTGGTCGCACTCGCAACGTATACTCTGACTTTCTTTGGGAAATCCGGGGTAAATGTAGAATAATCACCGCTAAAGTAAAATAAAAAATTAGCAGATAAACTCCATATGTCAATATCCAAGCTCTTGTACAATGATCAAGGAAAACTAAGGCCCTTTTTAATACCGCTTTCCAAGATATAGCTTGACATCGGTTCGCCATGTTCTTTTTGACTGTAGGGATACTTTGCTTCCGGCTCCCTAAAATAGCTTGAAGGGACGTAGTAGACTTTTCACCGTGAGTAGATTCAATGACTTGTAGTTGGAAAACTCCTTCCTATATATAAGACGGCATCGCAACTCTCAAACACTGCTCAAAACACCGACATGGACTATAGTTATAAACCGCCGTGGACCATAGTCACAATCACAAGCCTTGGTCAGAATGGGCCATAATCACAACTACATCAACTACATCTTTATGGGAAAGCTAGCCTCAGCCCTTGAAGTCACGGTTTGAAAACGACTGTCTCGCAGAGGCCCGATCTGGCCAGAGCAAGCAACTATATACCTATATATATATCCCTTATCATATGGCGTCTAGTGGATGTTTAGCACACTGATTCAACGGTAAGGGCCATCGAGGGCGGTTTGCGGCTATACTTCACGATGGTGTCCTCGTGGGGTAGGTTTGCTACGCCGCAACGACCCCGCTCACCGGGCTTATCCATGTTCTATTTGAATATGATGACAAGGTAGTAAGCCGTGTGTTGGAATAAATAACTGCGGGCTCAGAGACAATTATCGAGAGATGGATATCTATGGTGGATACAAGGAGGATCAGCGAGGTTCCAGTCAGCCACCTAAAAAAATCAAAATATTTTCTTGGCGTCATGAGTTCGCTACAAGTCGCTCTAAAACCCCACTGGAAAATAAATTAAAAAAATATATCTGATATGCCAAAAAGCCAAAAGAATATTTAAAAAAAATATACATCCGACGTTGACAGGACTCGAACCTGTGCCTCCGAAGAGAACAGCTTTCTAGGCTGTCGCGTTAACTGTAATGAACTGTTAACATATGTTTTCCGGCGATTGTAATGTGTTGGATGGACTTACCCACTCCGCCACAACGCCTGGAATTGATGTGATTGGTGGGTCATTTTTTGCTATTTTAATTGATATGGGAGCAGATTTTGGGGGATCGGAGTGGGGTTTTGTGCGTTTAGGGGGGACGGGTAGTAGGGAGCTTTGGGGCCGGAGGTGTATCGTGGATGGGTAAGGGCGGTTTTTATTAGATAGGCAGAGCTATATTTTGCTTGTTCCTTAGTTTTGTACCTTTTAATTCCTTTACCGCCAAAGTATGACCTGTGAATGTAGCCACATACCTATAATTACTCGGGTAGATAGGGAGAAGTTCCATTTATTGATCGCAATGGTTTATTTCAGAGGTTTTGCTGTTGTTTATTAAAGCCGAAACTCTGTAAATAATTTTTTTTGGGTCACACAAGTATGTATAGAGAGGTTTTTATGATTCTAGTTCATGTTCTTCCGACATATAAAACAAGTATTTAGGAAGCATCTGCGCCTGGTATTATTCGCCCTCCCATTCCCCCAGCCGATGTTCCAGAAACAACCGATCCAAACTCCAAGCTCCATAGGCCATGCATGTGAAAGCCATGTTGTTATATACAATTCCCCCATATCCTACCTTACACATCTACAATTTCCAACCTCTAGTTGTCTAGCTTCTTCTCTCGTAGCTCCCCTCTACCCGCCTATAACTTAATTTCGAGAACATCATTACTTATACCGAGAGGCGCCGCGTCATGATATTCAGATATCTCCACCGTAGGTATCTCCACCTCATCCAAACGATCTCTTGTTGATAGTGCCTTTGCGTGCGACCTGACGCGCAAGGCGCCCATGAACTTCAGAATTGTTGCTGGGATGCACACGGCGAGCGTAAACCACGGTAGGTAGTTGCCCCCGTGGCAGGTCTGGAACGACAAGGTACTTGTGGTTGTGGATTCGAGAGGGGGTTCGGGATGTGGAGAGGCGGGAGTGCGGAATAGGGAAGCTGACTTTTGGGGGAGGTAGAAGGTCGAGTCGAGAGATGGGTTGCTGCAGAGGAAGCTGAGGATGAGGAAGTAAGGGATGGTGCAGAGGATTGCGTCGAGGGTTAGGAAGAAGGAAAATATGGAGACGCTGAGAGCGTGTTGCTGGAGGAGAGATCGATGTGTTAGCGGGGTATCTTTCGATATCCAGATGGCGGACTATTATCGCGATACTCACTCTTATAGCACCTATAAATCCGAAGACGCTCAGAACATTTGCGACATGCAAATACCATCCAAAATTGCGTGCAAGAAGGAAACGATCATCTGGTAATTGGCTCAAGACCAGAGAAAATAGGGTGTTGCTGGTCAATGTCGCAAGCGCTATTATGATGGTAATTGCGCTATCCCCCGTTAAATCAGCGACGGTCCGCAGGAAACAAACTTCAGGGAACTAAACATACCGTGATTTTGATAATGTCATGATGCCGAAATTCTGTAGAGTATAGGAATAGGAAACGTATTCCTCGAAGATTTCCGCCTTTTAGAGCATGGAGCTCTTTATTCATCCAAGATCGGCTGATGATAAATCCGATTCATAAACGCTCCGGCTGTTCCGGTTGTGTTGCACTCAGTCGCAAATCACAGCAAAACTCTCTGTGCCATTCCAGGCGGGTTTAAAATACAATAGCGATTCCACTAAGTGCCACTCGCTTTCAGAAAAACCATCAATGGATGTTTTCGACATTTCCAGCGATTTAAGTAAATAGAGGCCGCACTCGAAAGTCTCCATGGCGATGACATAGCGACACGATTTTGGCAAAGAATGCCGTAACCTCTCATTTACATAACTCGGCCAATCAGCTTCCCAGCCACTTCTCCTCCTGAATTGCTGCCAAGGGGATTTGCCCGGAGAGATCCAAAATGCATGCTATGGCGGTGCCGGCATGGGAATCCCCGTGGTAAACCGGATCCGGGGCTGCGTGCAACCAATAGCCGGCGCTGTATATAATTATTTTCTTTTTTGTTTGCGCTTTAAAGTTTGGTCACGATTTTCATTATTGCTTGGCTCTGATCGTAGCGTTTCCGGTTCCGAGCGATGCGTGGCCCAGGCCTTTTTGACCCGGCGCGTCGTGCCGGTGCGAATTGCGACTGATCCAGCAGTAGATGTGTCGGAGAATGAGGTGAGGCTGAGAGTATCTAAGACGGGTTCATTTAAATCATCATCACTGGACGCTCCGATCTCGAAATGAACTGCATATGCCAATGATCGTGTCGAAGCTTGACGAAGTCTCAGAGTTGACGTTGAAGCATTGGATAGCTGCATAGCGCAAAACGATCGACCAATACAGGCCTGCTTCATCTCGCTTTCCATAGCGGATATACCTCCGTATCAATATCGCATCGCAACCGTTTTCTTTCGCCCATGCCGTGTCTTCATCACATCCATTGGGAACAAAAGGGTTTCTAATCCCACCTGGCTCAGGAAGCGACTGTGCCACTCAAATAAATACTTACTTCCGTACCGTAAAGGTAAGATGGACTTCTGTACGAAGTACCAACTCTGGTAACGATAGTTTCAACGGACTAGAAGCCGTGTTGACTTCCTCAGCTCGAGACGCCGAGGGACAAAGGAGATATCAACGGTTGCGACCATGGGAAATGCAAGAGGCTTCTGAGAACTCTAGAGTCGCTCTTCTGCAGCCCGATAATTCCCTTCATTCTTCCACGGGCCCAATGGCTACAGTTCCGGTCCTTGTTTTTGGATCATCAAAAGAGTTTAGATTTAGACAAGCCTTTGCAAGGTACGCGGATGTGGCGCAAACACATTCCACGCAGCGCTCCTTAGGAGCCGGGTTAGCGACAGGTATTTTGCCTTTTCCCCCAGATTTGCGACAAAGAGCCTGTAGAGAAACATGGCCCCTTAACCTCGACCACGAGGTCCTCCCGGCTTCTTGGATATTCGGCCCCCTCGTCGATTTTACCCCGCGGGGGGCAATCCGAGCGGCTTACCTGTCCAGTCGTACGCCGTGCAGTTGACTGATTGTCTATGGTGGGGGGACGTTTGATATGGCTTGCGCTCACGATGGATGGCATCTAGAAAAGGGACGTCCGCAATCTCTTTATATTGGATGGTGACGCCAGGAGCCGGAGAGGTTCGAAACCGTTTCATCCTTGGTTGGGCCTCTCGCCCCTCGCATCCTTTCCCTCCTTGGGTAGGAGGCATGGCAGGACGAGAACAGAACAAAGACATGATCATTATTGGAGGGATCAAAACGAGCTTACACCACTTGGTGCTCGAGTACCTTGGACTTCAGAGCATAGATGTTGTGGATGGCTTACGCTAGAGAAGCTGCTGTCAGCGTCGGGTCAGCCAGCACATCGGTCTCCCAGGAGAGTCTCTGACAAATCTGCAGCGCGGAAGCCAAGTACTTCCTTCGCAAGTCATCGGAACCCAAAACACGAGCCCGACCAGGCAGGCGTTTGTGGCAATCTGGTGATCGTTGGACGGACTGACGGTTATTCTCACCACAAAGGCGTGGTGGTGACTTGCCAGAGCTAGGGACCACTGAATATCCAGACCGTACTGTGTTATTGGCTGGATCGAGTCCAAAGAGTGCCGTGTCTGGCGATTGACTACGGGTAAATAACGGGCTTAATCCAAACGCAAGGCAATTGCAGATCTAAAGATAGAGCGCAAAGAGCGCTGCTCAATAGGGAACCTAGATAGGTAAATGGAGTGTAAGTAAGGCAGAGGTAGAGAGTGTTTGCCTAGTTGTGATGCTGGGCTATACGCACCTTACGGTATTCAATTCTACTTGCCGTAATATTCAATTCTGAATGAGAGGGCGCACAAACAAGCTCCGTTCATCTCCGATACTACAGCACTCCCCTATTCCATCCCTATATTATGGTACCTCCGTGCAAAGTACTTCGTCCTGCGCCCACAGCCACTGCTGCCCGAAGGTACCTCCTACCCAGTCCTTCGCACCCAGAACTCAGACGCCCGTTGCGCTGCACGTCGGCGCTCCTTGCTAGCGTGCCCGATTAGTCAATTAGTCGATTAATCGAGGAACCTCAACTCTTGTCTCTTGTCCACAATAATAGTCTCCCGTCTTGAAGAGGTCTCCGTCCCATTCAGACAAAGCAACTCGACCGCCCCTCTCCCTCGCCCATTCTCACCACGATTGACCCAGTCAGAGCGAACAATCCCCTGCGCCAGTTCAAGCTCGTGCACTCACTAGCGGCTGTGTTGACACTGCCTGCCCATCCAGCTTCGTTCCTGCGCTCCGGACTCCTGCACGTCGACGGGCTTTGACGAACGCTGCCAGACGCCTCTTCGATCCAAAGAGCATTGGACTTTGAAAGCCCCTACCAGTCGATCGAATCCCCTCCTCTCCTCTCTCTGAGCATTCCGAAGCCATTACCGCACCGTTTCTCTTCACGTTCCAACTGGGCTGCGAGATTTGCAGTCGTCGTGTTGACGACCGCGCCGCCGCGTTGGCTGCTCCGTCTTACCAGTTGCCTCGCTCCCCTCTCACGACTTGAACATAGCACACGTGGAAGTTGATGGAGGGCCAGTCGTCGGCTGGTAATTCTCAGTATCGATATCCATCTCAGTCGGCACAGTGGTCGCGACTTGTGCGGCGAAATACAGTCGCTGACCCGGCGCGCGATCTATCGTCAGACAGTACAGCATCTCCAGCTCTTCACCTTCCCGGCCTGCTTCCGATCCTCCTCCCGCAGCACTCGTCCTATCACCAAGCCCAGCTTGCACAATACAACCGGCTCATTACATCTGGCAGAGCATCGGCGTCGCCACTTCCACCCATTGTGTCTGCACAAAACATTCAGGGCGTGTCCGGGCATCGATCTAATTCTAGCGGTGGCAATACGACTCGGGCTTCTAAATCTACATCTCGGGTCGGTCATGGGAATAAGGAATCTCGTAAATCAAGCAAAGGCGAGCATTTGCTCATAGCAGAGAAGGATAAGCCCGCTACGATGCCGGCGAAGAAATTAGAGTTGGCCAACCAACTACCCCACAGACCTACTATAGCACTCCAAGCTACCAACATCTCGCAGCAGTCGAGTTCTGTTCCTTCAACGCCTCATCAACATGCTAGAAAATTCTCCTTCACATCTAGAGAACCCTCTCCGGATGCCACAAATCACCACTCTCCCCGATCAGCATACTCAGAGTCCAATCTTACCCTTACTTCTGCGAGACCGTTGCCAGCCCAACGAGGAGGATGTCGTTACGAGACGGCCATGGCACATACAAAGCGGCGGATGCCCTACAGCATCGGCAGTGAAAAATTGGAGAAGTTAAACCCGACAGATGTCAAGAGCAAACTTTCCGAGGATGAAGAAAGGAAATTGACGACAGATATGCGGGAATTGTACGATCGATTATTACCAACTGCTCAAAGCGACGGTAGGAGGCTAAAGTTGGTGGAGAAATTGGAGAAATTGTTCAATGACGAGTGGCCTGGACATAATATTAGGGTGCATGTATTTGGGTCATCTGGCAACCTGCTTTGCACAGATGAATCGGATGGTTAGTATATGGCTGCCGCTAAATCCAAAGGGCTTTTCTAACAGGGACGTAGTTGATATATGCATCACGACCGATTGGAAAGAGTTGGAGGGTGTCTGCATGATTGCCGATCTCCTTGCAAAAAGTGAGCATCATGCCGCTTATCATTGTATAATGCTGACCACATATCAGACGGCATGCAAAGAGTCATCTGTGTCTCGACAGCAAAGGTTCCTATTGTCAAAATCTGGGATCCTGAGTTGTGCCTAGCTTGCGACATGAACGTCAATAATACCTTAGCACTGGAGAATACTCGTATGATCAAGATCTACGTTGAAATCGACCCTCGAGTACGGCCGCTAGCCATGATAGTCAAACACTGGACAAAGAGAAGGATAGTTAATGATGCAGGTAAGTGCATACACCACTGCTAGTTGAACTGCACACCTCCCTAACCACTTCTAGCTTTTGGTGGCACGCTTAGTTCGTACACCTGGATATGCATGATTATCTACTTCCTTCAAACCCGAAATACTCCTGTTCTGCCAGCCCTTCACCAACGCCCGCATATCAAAACTCCGGTCAGCGGTTCTCAGGCTGCATTTGCAGATGATCTCGATACACTGCAGGGGTTTGGCAAGAGGAATAAGGAGTCATTAGGGCAATTGCTGTTTTGCTTTTTCCGGTTTTACGGCCACGAGTTCGACTACGACAAATATGTGATTTCGGTCCGAAATGGAAAGCAGATATCTAAAGTGGAGAAAAAGTGGCAATTAGCCAATAACAACGGACTTTGTGTTGAAGAGCCCTTCAACACAAATCGGAATCTCGGGAACACAGCGGATGATACCTCTTTCCGTGGTTTGCACATGGAGATGAGAAGGGCTTTTGACCTGGTTTCGAAAGCAAATTTGGAGGAGTGCTGTGAGCAGTTTCACTATCCCAAAGAAGAGGAGCGAGTCTGGGAAAGACCCCCACCTAAGCCACGGCCTGTTTTGCGTAGCACATCGCAGTCCAACCGAGGCGGAAGGAACGGGAACAATCGAGGCGCGCGACAAAACAATCAGCATAACCGCAATGGCAACAACAACAGAAGAGCTTCCAGTGCGGGTTTCGATGGTGGTCTTCCATATATGCCTCAACCCCTCCCACGAAACATGACGGCGCAGGACATTTGGCTTCAACAACAAGCTCAAGCACAATTGCATAATGACCTGTTTGCGACATACTCGGTTCTCCAAGCACAGGAGAATAACCTACGGCTTCAATTATATAATCAATCTCAAGGGTTTCTGCAAGCTCAACAAAACCAGGGTTATCCCCAGTCTCCATCCCAGAGCAGTTCTGGAACAGTCAAGCAGCAGGCCACTGATCGGAATCGGACCAGCTCCTTTGACCAACCACCGCTTACAGCTCCTCTTCGCCAAGACATGTACTTCTATCCAACGGGATACACTACGCCAGTGTATACATATCAGACCCCAAGCACAAACCCGTCGTCGCCATCACTCAGCTCCGCTATGCCCGAGTTAAGGCGCAGCATGCATCGATCAAGTGTTGCGAATGGTTCCGGCCCAGGTGGGCAATCAAGCAGTTCACCTAGGTCTCATTCACAGCCCGCCGTGCGTTCGGCTTCTACGCAACTCTCGCTGCAAAGTTTGGGTGTCGCGAGCCCCGGGCTTGGCATCTATCAATCGATGCGGCAGGCGAACGGTATCCCTATTCCTAATTTCATCGCCGATGAAAATTTAGAGCATGCTGCTACGGCAACGACGAGTCCTCCCGAAGATACGACCCCAAAAGAATATGTAGGCTATTACTTCAATAACCCTGGCCCAAGCACTGCTCGGAGAGAGTCGTTGGCCATCCCAGCATTCGGTGATCTTGCGCAGAATCGCCGGCGGTTGTCGACGGATCAGCTTCCACAATCAATCCTTGACCGGCTGAAGCGACCTTCTCGGTCTCCATCTCCTCTTGGCCATGATCGGTCCTATTCTACAGGAGCACACTCGACTCCAATCATGACCAACTCTTCGCAGCATGGGATTTCGAGTACCGGCCTTAGAACTTTAAATACTCAAGCTCCTCTTGTAGTCAATGGATCCAATGTTCCTACGCCAGTCTCGATTCCAAACTGGCAAGCTTCTGTTCATGGAGCATCCACAACTGACGATCACGCCAGTGATGTCGCGGTGGGCTCGATGGATTCAGCGTCGCAAATGTCTGGAACTCCCAGCGAAAAGTTTGAGAGCGATCAGGACTACGCTGGTTTGGCAACTCCAAAAGACTCCCAGTCTCGGGATCAACCTGGCCTGCCATGTGTGGTAAATGGATCTAGTTCGCAAATGAGTGAGATCTCGGCCCTCACTGGACTATCCCTGGATGGCGTTGCGACTGGTCTGGTAAACGGCCTAGCTGCTACAGATTCTGGCAACATCCCTCCTCGGCTGTCGCCCAACTCTCGGAACCGAATGGCACGTCAAAATGGCGGAATGTCCCCTCTCGATATTGGAGCTGGGCACAACGACGGTGTGCGTGATGACTTGCCCCATCTGTCTCCTGTTTATGAAACCCGAACTCCGTCGCCCACAGCAAATAGAAAGTTCGAGGCTGGATTGGAACGCAAGGCCAAAGGGCTGCATTCAAAGGTCAAAGATGAATATGAAGAAGTTCAGAGTTTCAAACAGAAGACCGCGCATGCTACTGAAAACCAGGCCAAGCAAACTGCGGCAGTCCCGAAAGTAAATGGCCATACGAGAGCATCGAAGAGCGAAGGTGGCGGACCCGGTATTTGGCAGAAGATTCCAAAAGGCAAGAAGAAAGGCCCTGGTGCAGAGTCGAAGAATTCTCCAAGTGGGCAACTCTATAGCGAGAAGCTACCCAGCATTGATTCCGAACGCAAGGGGGGCTAAGCGAAATGCTTTGATCATGTCGACCAGCAGCGCTGGTGGGCGGCTTTAAATTTATTCGAAAATCGACGCATTTACTCGCCGTGCAACTACTGGGCCAGCCAGCTGTTCCAACGAAATGGAACATCGTCATGGCTACCTGAGGGTGCATTTGCCAATCAACTTGCAGCCTTGGTTAATCACTTCGTGCTTGCAAATTCTGCTTATTAGGCACGCTTCAACAATCTCTATGACTTATGTGCATAGAGGAGTAACGGCGATCCGGCGAAAGGCTTTAAGTTAACCCCCCATCCACCTCCATAGAAACGAAGGATCAAACATCTTGTTGAAAAGTTTGATGAACAGCACACGTCAGCCGCGAGGAAGACGACGGATTTCAAAGTTTCTACAGAGATGAACCCATTTTGTTTGTGTAATTGAAAGGCATTTGCAAGCGGCCCGGTTTGGGCAGGTTTTTTCCTATGTTTCGTTTTTTCTTCTCGTCTAGGTCTGGGGTCTGGCATGGGTTCTTCGACATACAACAGCATGCATGGGTCTGAAAATTAGCATACACCTTTTCCTTTTTCATTGTAAACGCACTCACATATGTGTGCTGGAAGCGTTTCCTGATGGTTCTGATAAGTGCGTCTACAGGGATATAGGTGGGCGCCGAAGAACAACGAAGCAAAGCAAGTGCGGGGCGAGATTATAAAAAGACTCGGCCTTTGTATGTTTATAGCGGAAAATCACGGGTTCATGAAAATGCGTCTTAGAGACGACGGGAGACGATACCAATTCATGGGGTGAAACTTGTTAAGTATATGGAGCAGAGGAAGATAAAAAATGATGAATCTTAGAAAATAATTGCTGTTTGTCGTGATTGCTGCTACTGTCTATTTGGTATGAGGCTGCAGTGTACTCCTCTGTAAGTGTGCGAAGTAGACGTAGTCCTGGCAGTTTTGGCTGTCTTTTATTTGTCGACATGCATTATCTCCCTGTCTGGTTTCTTGGTATCTTGTTTGAATGTTACCCTACCCTTCCCAGAAGAGTCTTTCTAGGAAATTTGGACGATTCTATACAAGCTGAGTCTTGTAGTATAGACTTCGACTTACCAAACACTTCTGCCTCCAGTCTACAGCCAGCCCAGTACTACTACTCCTTGGCGGGCGCCAAGTTAGCCGACGCTGGAGACACTCTTCGAACGAACAGCGCACAGAATACTCAGTACCAAGGTATGGCCTTCTCCGTACAATGAGTGCAATGGGCGTTTTTGATAACCCAGGCGGCTTACCTCTGCCAATCCACCAGCGCGCCGCGCCCATGCCGGGAAGGAGCGCCACAAAGTTTCGTGTATTTTCACCTGAATTTTTAGATATCCTGCTTGCTGCAATGGTCCCCGTCGAATCAATGATATATCTGGCTTCGAGAGTTTATGGCTGGGATTGAGCTGACTGTGAAATTCCAACTTCCTCTCTTCCGGCAGCCTTATATCATATCATATCATACCGTGCCGTGCCGTGCCGTGAGTGGCTGGTGGTGCTGGTGGTGCTGTGGATACTAGTTGATTCTGGTGCTGAGGTACTTGGTGCTGGGTACTGGTGATGCTGTGGATGCGAACCTATCGCTGCACACCACCAGGCTGTTATTGGGCTTCCCCGTGGGCCTGCGCACCCATTACCGCCAATCGAAGAATACCGCAACGACATGCATCCCAAATGTATGCCCGCCCAAAACATGGAGACCAAATGTGTGCGTTTTGCTACGGAACTTGCGCTGGATGTGCTAAGTGCGCCCCCCTCGAGTTCTTCATTCGTAACTCCTATTATATAAACCTTCCTGCTTCGCCATTCTACGCGGCTACCAACTTCATCTTGCTCTCTCCTACTCATAGAGTGACATCTCTGACATCTATACGTATTACTCTACACGCATCAGTTGTCACTCCTTGAAGCCGGATATCCATCCGCGAAAATGCCAAACGACCTATGGACCATCATCTTTGGATCCATCCAAACAGCCATTGCAATTGTGGGTCTATGGCAGAGACGCGGGATCTTATATCGACTAGTAGTTCGTCCGGTTCACCCTGGTAAGGAAAAATTTCCTGGGTTTGACTGGCCTGGAGAATGGCTGACTGACCTGGAATGATGGGATAGGACAACAGCAGCCTACGGTAGCAACGGCCTAACGAACCAAGCCGGCGGTTGTTGATTGCTTCATATTGGGCGTTGTAAAAGGGAACGGGGATGGGGAGGGGGACTAGGACGGCTGACTACTTGTCATGGTGTTAATTGGAGCTATCTAGATGGGAGGCATCTCACGGCAAAGCGACAAGGTGCTTATGGTGTAGAATAGGGAGTGGTAGTGCTTGCTTCGGGGGAAACACAACTTTAACATCTTGTTTCCTTATCTATATGTCAAAAAAATTGTATTCTCTCCCATTTTTATGGGATAGGTTCAACATTATATCTTGCATGCCCCGTCAGTAAGAAGGTCATCATCTTTGTACAAAAGCCCTTTTGCCAGGAGATAAGAAAGGAGGATAAATGAGGGAAACTGTATCCCAAGATACTGACTGGGCTAATTATATAAGGCGAGAGGCTTCACATAATTGCATGTAAGTTATGCGGTAAGGCACTGGTCAACTAAGCCATATCTCAATTTCCATCACTACGCACAATTCAGCGATCTTGATAATAGAAAAAGCTCTTGGAGCGGATGATGTTTCAGGGAGTTCCATTCGCCAATCTCGGCATATATGTACTCCGTACAACATCGGGGAATGCAGTTATGTTCGAATGAAATCATCTGATACAAGGGTGTTGAAGCCACGAAATATCCATCTAAAAAAGGAAAGCAGATGACGATATTTCTATATCAGCTACTCAGTAGGTGCGTCGAGACACATACCCCGCGTCTACATAGATTCAGGTACTACTAGCCTTTCTTGGGAGCCCACAAAAACAACGATCAGTGACGAACGTAAAACACACAGAACAAAAATTCTCAAAGCTCATATCATTTATATCATTATCCGTTATAATAATACATAACTGCTAGCAGCTATACATAATAAATCTTCCAAAAATATTCTTTTTTGCCATCATATTGACTGGCAATAACGTATTATCCGCACGACAACAACCATGTCCGAAATAAACCGGTTCTGTAGCAGCGGGGAAATCAAGGAATAGACTCTTAGAGGGCTTTGCTTAGGTAAATAGAACCTGTAGCTCGAGCAAAACTTGTAAATGAGAATGCCGGGGTTTGTTATTTCCATAAGTGTCCTTGATATATATATCGGATGTTCATCCAACGTAAAAAATGGGGGGAAAGAGCAAGGACGCAATATAGTGTGCTACTAAAATTGCGGTCTTTGCTCTGACAACGTTTACATACTCTTTCTGACTTGTTTTCAAATTTAGCGCACTTAGCACCTATTGAGCTCATTAGAAGGCGGCATGTCGGAAAGTGTAAGAAGTAAGACTTACGAGGCATGAGCGCATGTTTATGCGTACATATGTATTAGGATAGCACACTTCTTACTCCATTCTGTACAGACGGGGGCGGCTGGGCCGGATAAAGGGGGTTGGTGCTAATCGCTAATCGCGAATAGTTAATCGTGCGGACTTAGCTCTCCTTCACGAATTGTTGCCGGTGATGACATGTCATCTTCACCATCCGATAGATCCGTATCTTGAGTTTCCCATGTGTCTGATCGGCCCATTGTAGTAGCTGAGGCAAATGTCGAAGCCCTGGAAGGAAGTCCCTCCATGCTACTTGAAGAGACTGAGAACTGTTTCCCATCGTAGACGATCCATGGTCCCAAATTGGCAATTCTACATGCCAGCCAAAGAATCCGCTCCTTTCTCTGCGCTGTCATTGAGGCTCGTTCGTGGTATTTTTCTTCTTCGTCGACTTTCTTCTCAAACCACTGAGCGGGGAAGTAGTTTTCAACCCACAAAAGGCCACGGACAGCGAAGTCTTCCGGGAACGGCCGAGGGTCGTCGCTCTGTTCTGGTATAGGAAACTCGGAGCTTTCGATACGACTTCGTGTTTGATAGGGGCCCAGTAATGTATTAAGCATCCTTACTAAGCTTTCCCAAGGGAAGTCGGCTTCGAGCAAACCCATTGCATCAGGAGAGTCCGCCATAAAGCGCATGAAAATCAGGATAACGTGGATAAACGGCAGAACGTTGGGATCTCCGACCCTGTTAAGAATGATTTCGGAGGTCGAGTTGCTGAGACGCTGAGCGTTCCTAAAGGAGATCACCGCGGGGGACTCTGCGATTTGAGAAACCTCAACTTCTTCTTCACTTGGCGAAATGGCTCTCATAACCGGGTTATCCTTTGCCGCAAAACCAAGCATAGCAACATAGTTCGCAATGGCGATATGAACCCCTTGCTCCATGAACTTCCGCGTAACTCTCCCGATATGCATGTCAAGAAGTCCGAGAAACTCCTTTACTGTTGGATCAAACAAGTGCATATCTCTATTTGTAAACAAAAGCCCATGAGATTTGACAAACGCAGTATCAAACGGAGGAAGTCGGTATGGCCCTTGCCCGTTGCCTGCGTTTAGGACGGGATCAAAGAGAGTCAAGACCGAGTCGCGGGCAGAGGCGAATGGATTAGCTACGCAAAGAGATTTTGAATAAAAAAATAACTGTTGCAGGGCATTTGGTCTCGCCAAAATTGCCAAATGGTGGTACAGGCGCCCTGTGGTTGGAGCTTTATCTGACGCTTTAGAGTACCAATGGCGAGCAACGCCAGTCCAGACTTCTCGATCGCGGATATCTTCGTCTTCAATTGCCATCCTATACCTACCAAGATCACCTAGGCATTCTATCCACGTATCCTCAAATGCCGGGACTGTCTCGTAGAGCAGCGCCATCATGGAATAGGCTAGGTAGATAAAGGCTAGCATATGGTCCAAAGAAGCAGGGAGTCGATGTCGTAGCAGCTCGAGGAATGAATGGATGCCATGGCGCCACATTCTAGCTGGCATGGCGTATTTAGATGCCAATCGCCGCAACGCCGGACTAGCAGAAGGATGTTGGGAGGCTAGGAAAAAATCGTGATGCTCATGTAGTAGAGTTCTGTGCAGAGCAATTAGAGCTTGCCATTGCTCATTGTTCAGTTTCGGCGGGTTGCCTGCATCAGCTTGAGCCAGGGCGGCCTGTTTGTTATCTACTTCGATACACTTTGCCTCAACCATGACCAAGCCAGCATAAATGCCTTTTACTTCCGCGACTAGTTGCTCTTGTGATATTGGTCTCGTTTCTGGCTGCAACATGATATTAAACCGCTCCCCTTCTGTGGGCGGGACTTGCGAGCCTTGTGTTGGTGCTCTGGCCAAGAGGGTTGAACTTGCTGGGCCATTCTCGGTGTGTTGGCCGGCTGTTATCCTCGAACTGGCAGTTTTGGAAGGCGATTGAAACGACTTTAGGGCTCTGTTAGGCTGCGAAACTGGAGCCCTTGATCTTTGAGGAGCAACTGTATCTGGCGTCCACAATTGCCTATTTTTGGCAGGGGGCCGAGGTTCGAACATGCCTTTTTGACCATGTAGGGGTTCCGAGCTATACGGACCCGGTGCTGAGGTAGGCCTTTCCTTTACTTCCTGACCTAGAGGCGGCGACCTAGATGCGTCGCGGAAGGGCGAGGCCGAGCCACCGCTGATGCCTTCTCCCACGGCAGCCCTCTTGCGGGGTTGTTCCGTCGCCTGGCCGTCATCGTCCTCCGAGAGGTCCTGCATGGTGACATCTTCACTTCCGCCGGGCGTTCGTATTTTGAGCTCCTTCAGATCCGCAAGGCTGGCCGCCTGCGCAGGCATCGGAGAAGACAAGGGTCGTTTCGAGTGTCCTGGCGGAGGGAGCCCAGATCGAGGGCCTTCTGGTTCGTTCAAGGTCTGCTTCCGCGGTTGCCAACCATCCTTCGGGGAGCTGGGACAGTGTCAGATTGGGGGGATGAGCAAATCGTTCAGCCTTGCCGGCTGGCTATGGGAGGACACAAGGCTGGGTGGCACATTGTCGAGCCTCGTAGCTAAGTAGGATGGGAGAGCGGCCATACCTTTTTTTAGCCGATTCGGCCTCCAACCTCGAGCGAAAGGCTCCCAGCTCGGGCTCGGCGCTGGGGATCTCGTCCTCATGGTCCCGGCGGGCATGCTCCCAGAGGTGTTCGGACGTGGTGAAAGCCTGCCGATTTCTGCAGAGGAAGCAGGCATATGAAGACGTCGTCGTCTTGTTAAGCCGCCTTTGATGCTGGACCCAGAGCTGATCAAGGCTTTTTGATTGTGCTTGCGGCTGTTGTGGTATCCGACTCATTTCTAGTGGATGGAGGGGCATTTGTCAGCGCAGGTCCTTTTTCCTTACGCGACTGGGAACTGAGGGCTTGACTTGGAGTGGGAATCCCGCTGCGAGGGGACTTGTCCTACGTACCAATTGTGTGGGTTGGGGGCGATGAAAGGGCGATCAAGGGCGATTTCCACGCATAATATCGACCGAACTTGATACTGCACTTGGATTTTGCAAGCGGGTTTGGCGTGGATTTGCGCCCACCTTGTTTGTTTTTCCGTACACGTGAACCGCGCAAGCAGCAATCAGGAATAACAGAAGACAGAGCAGGCAGGCCGGACTACAGAATCAACAGGATAGCGAGCGGACAACGGGGAGTATGTATATGGGGGCCGTCCTCCCGGGAATGAGCCGTGAGGCTCTGCTTCGCTGGTGCGCGTCAACACTGCACGCAAGGCAACCAGCCAGATGGCGAACTACATTTGGCGAACTATAAAACCCGAGGGTTGCTCCCCCCGCCCATCATCCAGACCAGAGGAATCAATCGTCTCCCACAGCCTAAGCCTCCAGCCTCCAGCACCTTACCTTGCCAACAAATACCACGCGCTTCGCAGGCCCAGGCTGCTGGCCGGCTCTTGCTGCTACTTCTTGACTTACTCGACTGGTCAGCCTCGAATAATCATGACTCGGATGCTGCGAACTTGTGCTGTGCCCTAACTGTAGGTACTGTACTGTACTGTACATGTATTGGCATTGGCATTGGCATTGGACCAGGCAGGCTTGAGTCGTGTTTCTAGGCGCCCCAGCCCAGGAAGGCTCACCGAAAAACCGCCCCCAAAAAACCCCCCCGCCAGCACTTGACAATCTCGATCTCTTATTATTCTGAGGTGCGCGCTCCTCCTCTTGACCGACGGGTATATTGGGCCACCATCACAACACCCGGCGCTGGGATATACGTACATGTACAGTACAAGGCCACTACGAAGTACACTGTGTACGCTGTGCAGTGTCGTACGCCCGCCCTATCTCAAAGGCCATCTACCAGTATCATCATCCCGTACCACTACAGCAACTCATCCACCATCACCATCGTTGCGCGTGGTCGCCAGAATGCCCGATTTGTGCACGACTGAGTGTCCAGCCTTGCCCCGAGACAGAGCCGAAGTTCAGTCACTTGACGCTTGAGGCCCAGCCAGTCCTCGTAGGGCATGGGGGATTATACGGCTGGGCTGCCAGGCTACCTACCTACCTACTTAGATGGATCCCGAGTGCCCGAGCTATTTTATGCTTCCCAGGCGGCATTCTTCCCAGCATGTTTCAAGGCCGTTTTCCTCGGACCTATCTTTCGCTGCTGTTGGATTCGGTTACTCGAGTATTCCCAATCGGTGAAGGTTTGCTTTGACGCTCAGGACGGACCGTTAATTTCAGCCTTCCTCAGCCCCCCTGGATGGCTTTCTTCGTCTGCTTTGGCGGAGGCTTCCTCGCCTGCTTACAGTTGCCTTGTCCACTGGGAATCCTACGAATTCCTCTCCAGTGCAAAACACATCACCTCGACACGACGAAGTAGGTGGTCGAGTGGAATCCTGCTGCTGCGCCCGATCGAGTCATCAGAGTCCAAGTTAGGCGACATAAACCTCATTTCCACTGATGAGAAACGCCCGTTTTGAACCCAAGCAGAAATTCCCGTCTTGGTACGAAGTAGAGAGATATGTAATTCAAACGGTATCGCTATCCACGACATGGCCTCCTGCCCGTCAGGGACCCGTATCCGAGAATGTTGAGGCAAAAAGGCATCTTGCGATGAGCCATTCCTTTTATTTATGACACAAGGCGTCACACATATCATCCACAACTCCTGCTCCCGGAATTGCATCCTTATTACATCCTTAGGTTAGTGACTCTAATCGTAACGGCAATAAATTACGATTATGCCATCGTGGATGGTCCTTTCGTGTCTACTCCCTGTGCCGTGGAATACTACCCAGCCAACACCAGATCCAACACAGAATATCACACATGATTTCCAGCGGATCGTGACAAATTCCGTACAACAAGATGAGTCTTACTTGACAGGCAACCAACAGGACTACAACATAACCTCCTCGGCAAAGGCCATAGAATCTGCCATGCATAGTTAATGCCACAGCAAGATTGGTATCGTATCGAGACGCTACCACACGTTGATATTCCAGGATAAACTAGACGCCCCCCTTGTTGGGTCGCCATTTTGAGTCATCCTGTTGAGCCCCTGAGATTCTCTCTAACATCGTGAGGGTTTGCTCTGACTTCCCGGTGGGTGCAGCCCTACAACTTCTACGCCCAGTCTCGCCAGAGGAATGGAAATATTAATCTCGGGGCGCCTTGCTGCTTCGTTGCGTCCCAAAGCTCCCCAAGTGGATGATGCCTATCTGGACCGCGGGAGGTTGCGTTTCCTCGTCGACGAACAGGAGCAACCAAGAAGGTACATATAACCTCCAATAATCTAACAAGGTGGGGTTCTTAGAACGGCTAATAAGTTTCAACCAGACCTAGTATACTCGGCACTGGAAATTCAGATGCCCCAATAGGAACCATCCCATGACCAAATACGTGGCTCCGCGTTCCACGTTTCAAAGCATCTTGCTAATCTATCCCTAGCCAATATTACGGAATAGACCTCTTTCTGATAAACTTATTTTGCATCGTGTTTTCCTTCCCAATTATGCGCTCAGCAAACGGTACTGTACACGTTGCAAGGCAACTGAGCAAACCCTACAAAACCATACGCAGCCAGCCTGAATCGATGTGTTTGCATCTTAAAACAAAGCCCATGACATTCATGGATGGCTGAATTGGCAACTGCCCATTCATATGTCGATAATCGAAATATCTTTGCCAAGACGACGTTTAGTCAACTCTGCTGGCTGCGATCCAAGTGGCTCGCATCTAAAGCTTTATTCCGCAGGGCGAAATATCCTTCCTTGATAGGTTATTGAATAACTTAGGTCCGGCGAATACAAGCGATGTAAGCATAACAGTCACCTCTGCCATGGAAGTGCAGGATGCTTCGCCCCGCTACGTACGTATTTTGCCCGTATTCCTACAGCTTACAGCTTACAATTGCCTCGCTGTACGCGCAATCTTGCATTTATCTATGCGTCGGGTATAAGCACCATTCTAGAGCGAACAGCCGCCTTTCAAGTCGAATAAGAAGAACGTCGTTGCCGGTATTCTTGCCGGTGCCCTTCGAGACCCCGCTCAAGACCCATTGTTTTCTCATTGCTCTGCTGCCTAACAACTGATATTTTCTTGGAAGGCAAATAATCATTAATCATCGACACATGCAATCAGGAGAGAGTGCCCTAATATCATGTGTTGTTGATACCCGCTCTCCCCGGCCAATCCGCCGGGGAACTACCTAGGCCGGGTGCTGCCGGAGACCGAAAAAAACGGGAGACAAACGGGAGATAAACGGGAACAATCACGCCAAAATTTCCCTGCTCAATGTCTAGTTAGCGGTATCAATAGCGGCCGCCTCGTTTTAGTTAATAATTGCTATGCCTTTTCGACTTAGAAAATTCGAATTATATGTTGTACTTTGTACTCCCGTACCTGCTCTATACTTTATTTGGTGGCGGTGCGTACAAATAAATAAGCGAGAGCCGCCACCCATTTATTTGCCCCTCAACCCCTGAGTCCACTATATGGTTGGCTCTCCCTTCCATGCAGCTACCATCTTTATCGCCACAATTGTTGACGCTCTCGTCCCAAACCTTTGGTGTGGCTGTTGATCATCTGCTGAATTATGACTCGTAAAGCTACACAAAGTGTGGCGGTTGTGGCTTATTGGCTCACGTATTAATCGCCATAACTTGGCTGAGCTGGCTCTATTCGCCGCCGTGAGCTTTGGGATTCAATTTGATCAATTTGATGATCGCTCGCGTCAGCGGCTCAGATCCCTTTCTTGCTCCCGTCGCGTGTCTTATTGCCTCAACACGCACTCCACCCAGTCATAGTTCATATAGGGCAATCTAATATTCTACCGCGAGGCTCCAGCCGATCCATCGGCCAGTCCAGCTCCCACGAACATACCAAAGTTAACCGTGATCTCGTATATCGGGAAAGAGCGGTATACTTTCCGCTATAAGATTGGCCACACCTAGGCAGCGGTCACCACCTCGTCGCCAGACATCGGCCCTTCCTCGACAAAAGCAAAGAAGGCGATGGTGGACAACGAGGACCTCTGGGCGAGGAGGATCAAGGCAAACAAGCTAAGACCTTTGCCTGGAGGCTGGAACATGGCATAGAACGAGGCGTCTGCGATGCTATAGCCTCAATCCCCCTTTTCCTATCCATCGATATTTGGAAAACTCGGTGAACCTTATTTGGGAGGATCTCAAGCAGTGAAAGGGCCTATGGGCGGCCCGGGCTTTTGCATACCCGAGCCGGCAGCCGGAGGCTGTACGTCCGTATGGATGGTTTCTTACAGGGACACGGAGCCGGTATGCAGGGAATTGAATCATTGGGCGGTGAGGTTACTGATGCTGCCCGACAGGTCTCGGGTTTTAGGTTGTCGCCCACTTATTGAGACGGAATACCGGGACAGTGTGGACGGCAGTGAGATCTAGATCTTGTTTGCCAACTTCTCACCTCCCTCCAAACATCCCAAACAGTCACAGATAATCAGGCTCGACAGCACACGCGGTAAATTGATATCGTATCCTACAGCTTGGGGTGAAATGGTAACCCTATTGATGCCAGTGTTTCAGCCTTCCATTTTGCCTCCTTGCCTTTTAATTGCCTCCTCTTGTTGACTTTCTCATTTGTTGGAAATATCAGGGCGCTTTTGTGAGGGTTGCGTTGACGTGGTTTACAAAGGACGCCCGAGGAGGCTGCGAGACGTGGTTTTGGAGATGTGGTGCCATGTGCTTCGTACGGCATCAATACTTAATCTTGCTGCCCAGATATCTGACTGATATCCATTTCTACTTGATCTTGGTTGGACGAGCTTTCGAAATGGTTGTTCGAAGGTCCAATGGGGCAGGTTTTGG